GACCCTTTTTGGCCCCGCCCCTCAGGCCCCTGGGTGCTTAGGACTAAACCGGCAACTATTTTTGTTGACCTTTGTCCATGGAAGGCCCATGCAAAATTTCATTGAAATTGGTTCAGGGGTTTTGGAGGAGAAGATTTTTGAAATTTTAGTCAATTTGACCCTTTTTGGCCCCGCCCCTCAGGCCCCTGGGTGCTTAGGACTAAACCGGCAACTATTTTTGTTGACCTTTGTCCATGGAAGGTCCATGCAAAATTTCATTGAAATTGGTTCAGCGGTTTTGGAGAAGAAGTCGAAAATGTAAATTGTTTATGGACGCACGACGGACGACGACGGACAAAAGGCGATCGCAATAGGTCACTTGAGACTTTGTCTCAGGTGACCTAAAAAACCCTGACTTTTTGCCCTGACCTGGAGTGTAGACCCGAGAGCACTCTGTAATACACTATCATGTCATGATCAACATACCCCAAGAAAGGTCCTACCATGTGGAAGGTTTGAACAATGTTTTTACAAAGACAAAGTGTCTGATATATATAATCCCATCTTATCAGTAGAGGATATGATGTTAGAAGAGGTCCAACAAGCCTGTATCACTCACCTCTTATTGAATGATGGACACACACCATCCCAGGCAAGCTATTCATGGGCAACCTTACATTTTTGTGTAAATGCTTAACTTTTTTTAGTGGCCTAACTGATATGTAGAAGCATGTTATTTAAAAGACTTGATCATATACTTAAAAACAATTATTGAATTGTTTAGTATACAAGTATAGGTGTTCTGACAAAAAAAATGTGTACAAACCTGTCCTTTGGAATCTCAAGTTTGAAGACATGAACAGTTTCAGTGTTGCTGGATGCTGACAGGAACATGGAGTCTATGCTGAAGGCCAATGAGTGGATGCTAGCACATCTGTGTAAGAAATACAATACTGTTACTTGGTGGCTGTATCTACTGTCTATACAGGAATGTAGGCTGAACAGTAACTACCACATGTGTCACTGTAACTCTGTACAACACAAACATAGAACATAGAAAAATGTATCTACACATAGAAGTTAAAAGCAAAATTTTCTACAAATTTATTTGAAAACACATCTTCAGTATGCATCACAATTTATTTTGTATATTGGACTTTTGACAAAAACTTAGAAACAGCAATCAAACAATTACAACAATGGCACATCCATTATATTAACAACCTTTTCACTCCTCTTCTGAATTCAAATAACTTCTGTCCCTCTGGCACGGAGAACACTCGTATCACAGTACCCTGAGCAAGCAACAATATATGCAGTTTAGAAGCAGGAAAATAAATATGTAATTATGGCATATCGGAATACAGTTAATGATGTAAAAACAATATCATCTTTGTAACACTTGTTGGCTTCAGAATATATCTGAATTTTGAAATTGCCCCCTCTAAAACATGAATTCTTGTTAAAAGTCAAGTAAGTTCAAAATTTGGTCTCTATAAACTAGTAAATCACCAGTACATTGACCCTATAAACTAGTAAATCACCAGTACATTGACCAGGCAGAACCACGATAGACACTACAACTGTAGCTCCAAGTAAACAGCAGCTTACACTTTTAAACATAATACTGATACATCACATAATGGTACTTAATTTTAGAGCCTTGAAGCCCAACAAATTTGTAAGATTGAAACCTTTTCTGATGCTGTTGCTATTTTAGTCCCTTGGTTATTGAATGCCAACGCTGCTAATGGATTATCATGTGCTGGTATCATTATAACTGCTCTCTGAAAGTACATACATAGTTCAAAAGACAATATAACTGAACATCTTTATGCAGGAAGGTATTGAAATTGACAGTACATGTACTTAATTTACATAATGGTTTCAAATGCTTGTGTTTCAAATTAGAAGCAGTCAAGTTGAGTCACTGAATAAATTAGATTTCAAAAGTTTTCCATGGTTAAATTTTAACACATCAGTTTCCTTGATGACCATTCTTAAAAGCTTTGAGTTAACCATGTACCACCTTATATCAAACACAAATACTTACTAAATTCTTACCATCAAACATGAATATATACTTACTAGATTCATTGTGTCAAATATCTGGACCTCTCCTATTTGATTACTACCAGGGTAGGCTAAGAAACAATTGTCATTGTTTATTGATAATGCACAAAGTCCATTCCGATTTGGGGGGGTGTCACGTATTGTGTGAAGAACTTTCATGTCGCGAATATTGTGAATGTACAAACTCTCCTCCAAACACACAATGAGTCTCTGAATAAAGGAAATATACATTAATACCACAGACTGTAGTGTGCCATCAAATGTATCTCTATATACTGATCAGGAATACTCTGAATAGTCTTGATAAATCATGCAAATATCACACATCTTTGTCTGCATCTCTCAAAGAAATCAATGTTAGTGTTTCTCTCATGTAAGATATGTTTTAGAGTTTTGGAAGTAATGTTTCTCAGTTTTAATTTTTGCATTAAAAGATAATATCTGTTGATCTCAAACTCTCCAATGTTAAATGTGGACCAGTAAACTGCTAACTCACCTGTCGATTTAGCCTTACAGCCAGTATAGAATTGGAATAGCTGTAATTGCATATTTCTGTGCCTTTTTTGAAGTGACATACTTTCAGTTTCCTTGGAGATGACAAGCTTACTATTGCTACCAAGCTACTAGAGAACAGTCGTTCTACTATACATATATCTTCATTTTCTGAAACAAAAATGGAAAATTTTGGAGTAGGAAAATTGTCAGATCAATGTAGTTTTGTTAGGAATATGCATGCAATTGCATTTTTTGAGAAAACAAAAATCAGAAAGAGATTTTTTTTAATGATTTTCCATTCATATAAGATTGATCAAGTTAGTCTATAATGACTTTTTCATCAAGCCAGTCAGTGAGGTTCTAAAATGAAAATTTGTGGAAATTTTCATCATTTCATGATTTATTGCAAATATTCCTGAATTTATTTTTTTCTCTTCCGACTTGTCGAAAACTGAAATATCATTTTGACTACATTCCTTTTTCATTTGTACCATCACAATGCTGTGACACCTTGAAATTGTTTTATTTCTAATGTCACAATAGGCTAGCTGAGTTTTTTCTATAAACAATATTTTCTCTTATGCTAGATAGTCACACCAGTCAGGTGACTCCGTTTTGTTATCTGTAGCTACTTTCAGTCTATGAAATCATTATTAAAAGACGAGGGAAATTTGAGAGTCAAGGCAACATTGTTACAAAGACAGCTGTTGTAAGGACAGCAATAACAAGTTTTTTACTTTTCAAACTTGAAAAAACATAATCGTTAAAACTGTAGCGTTGATAAGCTAAAAACTTTCTGGAAGTAGAAAGTAGAGTTATTATGAAACAGTACCTCAGAAAGGCAGCTATTGCAAGGTGAAATTAAAGTATGTCAATAACACAATTCCTGTAATTACTGTTATGAAACTGGTATCAGGGAAGCTAAGTAATGAATAAAAAATTGCAATTTGTGGTTGTATCATTATTATTATGTAGTGAAACTTGACTATTGGTGGATTTCCAGCAACCAGCTCAACTGGTTAGAGCATCCATTTAAAGTTCAAAGGACCCAGGTTTGAATCCCGGTGTGGCCATGCATTTCTCCTCTCCTGTTACAGTGCCTTTGAATGCTTGGAAAGGTGATACTGAATCCTGGGTTGTAAATATTGCTGTCCTTGGTTGAGACTTAAAAAAAAGCATCAATGTAGCAGAACTAGACGGAGACAAACACTGACAACAAGGTAGCACAATTGATTAGAATGCCTGTCTAGAGTTTGGAGGTCTAAGTTCCAAATTCCGGTCTGGCTGTGCATTTTCCCTCTTTTACAAGTATGTATTATAGATAAAAAAAAATACATTTGCGAAAAAGATCTGACAGCAGCAATTTTCCAAAGGTAATTAACAACATGATAATCAACTGCTTTTCTTCTTTATTCATATCATCAAAAATATACTAGGGATTATTGGGGAAGGGGGTGTTAAAATATACTGGAAGTGTTTTTTTCTTTGAATGATTCCCAAAATCCTAACCTTAATAAAAAACAGTTTACGGGGCTCTGTTTACTATCATGTATATCCTCCAGACACCTAGACGAAGAATTGTAACATACATGTTACTAATGTAGACTTGAAAAGACAATGGAGCTCGAGTATCCTTCCGATTTCTTTGATTTTGCAAAATAAAATCAGAACTCAAACATTTTCCAAGTCCAATTTTCAATTTATAAATACAAAAATGACACAAGAAAGTGCGAACACTTCTTCTTCTTCTTCTTTATACGAGGGCTCCATCAGTTTGATGATTATGCCATCGGGGGTCCTATTGTAGAGGCGTGAAGGGGTTATTTATAGTGATTAGGGGTGGGGTGGTTTTTTTTGTGATTTTTTTGTGCAAGGTATAGATAAAAAGTTAAAATCTGGTGTATGTACTAGTGTGTGATGAGGGCTTCAAGGGATGTGTAGGGTAAGTGTGCCTTGAAGTCCTCTAGTGTTGTGCATTGGACTGCTGCTAAGGGGAGGAGATTCAATTGTGTTACTGTGTGTGGGAAGAATGAGTATTTGTAGGTGTCCTTTGTAGCAGATATGTGTTTGTATGCGTACTGGTGTACCTGTCTGGTGCGGGGATCTACAGGTGTGAGTATATGTGTTGGGTTTAAAGCTACGATTCTGTGTATAATTTTGTAAAAAAGGATAATTCTAGTGTATAAGCGTTGTGTTTGTAGTGTTGGCCATTGAAGTGTGTGGATCATGTCTGTTACGGAACTAGTATTGTGGTATCTGTTTTGTACGTAGCGTGCTGCTCTTCGTTGTGTTTTTTCTTTTTGTTTAATTTGGTTTGTGTTGTGTGGATCCCAAATGGAAGAGCAGTATTCAAGTTTAGGCCTAACTAGTGCTTTGTATGCATGTTCTTTTATATGTGGTGAGTTTATTTTCAGGTTGCGTTTGAGAAAACCTAGGGACCTATTGGCATTGGCTGTGATATTGTTTATGCGTTTGTCCCATCGTAGGTTGTTTTGTAGTGTTAGTCCTAAGTATTTGCTTGTTTCTACTTTGTGTAATGTGTTGTTGTGGAGTTGGTAATCATGGTGTATTTTGTTGCGGTTCGGTGTAATGTTAAGTATGTTACATTTGGCGGGGTGAAATTGCATTAACCAGTCAGTCTCCAATTGTCCTGCTGCATCGAGGTCGTGTTGTAGTTTTAATGTGTCTTCTTTGTTGTTTATTGTCTTGTATATTATGCTGTCATATGCAAATAGTCTAAGTGTGCTGTATTTCATGTATTAGTGGAAGTCATTTATGTAGATGAGGAAGAGGATGGGGCCCAAACAGGTTCCTTGAGGGACCCCAGAGGTTACTTGTATTTTGTCTGATTGTTTTCCCTCAAGTACTACTGTTTGGGTGCGAAATGAAAGAAAGTCTGTAATCCATGCGTGTGTGTTCCCTGTTATCCCGTAGTATTTGAGTTTGTATTGTATTATAAAGTGTGACACTTCAATTATAAACTTTTAAGTACCAATCTAAAATAAATTAAACAAAAATTGAATCAAATTATTTTGATTAATAAAGTGACCAAGGACTTCCCGTTTTGATATGACCTGAGCTGTAGACCAAGCACTCATATCTGAAGTGACATGACCCCGTGTCGTGTTGTTACTAAAAATAGAAATTATGACAGCTTGTTTACGACATTCCAGTGTATTAGCTGATGTCGACGACGAAAAATATACACACCTTTCTGACATCAAATGCAACCTTATATCCATTATTTGATTTCATTATCAAATAATTATGCAATATATATTTTGTTTTTCAAAACAATCCAAAATATTTATGTCAAAGGCGATTCGAAGTGTATCTATCATTCAAATACCAAGTTTGGGAAGGGGGTAAACTTAATTAATACAACATCCATATCTTTGACCTCACCATTTTCATAGATTTGTTCCAATTTATCTACCGAGCTAAGGGAAAACAACTTGTAACCGGTCCTAGTTCCAATAGCCAATGATCTGAAAAAAAAGAAAATATGATTTCGATAAGAATTGTTTTTAGGATTTCGAAACGAAAACGCACGTAAATACAAACAACGGCAAAAGATGGGAGGAACACAAGATGGAAATCTTACGTGCAATCCTGATTAAAGTTAACAAATAGCAGCTCTGATTGCTCGTCGTCGGTTTTAGCTGCGATGTTCATCAGGCCAGTAACACTTTTGGCCACTCCACTGTATAAATAATCCGTACTGGTTGAACGTCAGCTTCTCTCCAAAGCCTTTCGTTAGGTGGCCATTTGTATTTACATCGAACGATTTTCATTTGTAACGAGGATTTTGATTGGACGTTATATGAAGGATCACTTGGATGTCCGAGATCAGTCAGAAAAGAAGTCCTTATGTCTGTAGGCTGCTATCATATATACCTCTGTTGGTAGTAGATCATTTTCAATTTCATAAAATTTTGACCATCATAAATAAATTGGCAAAAACAATCAAGATTTTTTTTATTAGGCCTACATTCTATATCTACCTGACTCAGTGTAGGAGTCCCGGGAGAAAGTTCGGCCCCGGGGTAAGTCAAGTTCGACCATCCCTGACATTTTATGTCTTGAGAAAAAACCTTAGCAGTTAAGTTAGCTCGGCGAGACATTCGCACGAAAAATGGCAAGAAAATATCTATGGTAAAACTACTAATCTAAAAGGGATAAAGTCTCTTTTGGGAGGGTAGAAATGCATTCTTTCTAGTTTTGCGAACTTTTTGTAAACCAAATTGTTATAACAGTTACTTAATTATGTCACACTGACAGCTTCACATGATGGTTTGTACCAAAGCCTACATTTGACTTACGTATAGCTGTAATTTATTTATTTATTTATTTATTTTTTATTTTCCAAGATTTTCAGAACATGTACATTATACAGAACATCACATCAACACACATCCAAACATTCACACATATCTACTATTGAAATTATCAGCAACCTCATCCTCCTCATCATTCTCATCATCTGATGATGATTTTATACAATCACCAAGACACATTCAATTTTCACACACTTTCACACATAGAAAGACAAAACAAATGGACAAAGAGCACTGAGAGAGAGAGAGAGAGAGAGAGAGAAAGAGAGAGAGAGAGAGAGAGAGAGAGAGAGATCAGACTGCTGTGAGTATTTGTCAGTATTTTGTTTTTTAAAGTACAATAACAACTACTAACTTAATATAAATAGTCATAAGACTCAGGGTTAGTTGAGGTCAAGCTCTACTAATTTTAACCATTTTTCCCATTCAGAAGTAAATCTTCTAAGGCCTTGTTCCCCTTTACCACGAGCAATATATTTCTGAACCTTATAGTAATCTTTAATCGAATTGACTAAAGCCGTCACATTAAGTGACTTATGAAAACATCTGGTTTTGTATATATATTGTTTAATGAACAGAGTAATTTCATTATCAATTCTGGTATAAATTCCAGTTTGGTTGATAAAACCAAAGATCATTGATTCTTTATTTAGTGAGAAAGGAATAGTGAGAGCACTTAAAAGACTTTCAAAATTGCTCAGAAATTTTTGTACTTCCCTGCATTCCCATAAAACGTGGGTAATTGTCTCCCTTTCTATGATACAAAAAACACAGTGTGGGTTATTTACAAGTCCAATTTTGCATAAATAAGAATTGGTTGTTAAAATATAATGATTAATTCTAAATTGCAACCATTGCAATTTTGTATTTTTTGTAACCCTGAAAGGAATAGCATATATTTTCCCCCAAGTTTCCTGATTATAGTCGAATATAGTTCCCCATTTTGTTTGAGCAGTTATTGATGCATTATTTCTGATAAGTATATTATAGAAGTCTTGAGAACCTTTTTTCTTCTTTAAAATTATTACAAGATGTAACGGTATAATTGGGTATATCACATTTTTGTTTGGCAAATTAAGTTGTTTCAGATAATTCTTTATGCTTGTTATCAAGCCATGATATTCTAGATAATTAGTTATTGTACCATGTAGATCACAAAATTCCTTAAAAGACAAGAAAGAGTAGTCTGTGTTGTTTTTCAACAAATCATTAATTATCATAATCCCGTTTTTAAACCACTTACTATAAAAAACAACTTTATTACCAACAGAAATATTTTTGTTATACCATAAGGGTGTCTTAAGTAGGGCAAAATTCTCATTTTTAAACAGCTCCTCTTTTGCTCTTAATTTATACCATGCCCTAAACACATCTTTCCAAAACACATTTTTGCAATTTCCTTGAACTTTATTAAGGTACTCGTTTCCTGAGTTAGCCAAGATATGAGGATTTACACAAGATTTTAAAATGCTTACCCATTTACCTTCTGATCTAAAAAACCTTCTTATCCAACTTATTTTCAGAGCTTCAATAAAAGACATTAAATTAACCATTTTTAGCCCACCTTCTTGATAATTTTGGATTATTATGTCCCGTTTAATCTTATCAGTTTTGCTATTCCATAAAAAATTGAAAAGAACAGAATTGAGCTGTTTTATAAATTTTTCAGATGGATTAGGTAAGGAAATGAACAGATGATTCATCTGAGAAATTAATAAAGATTTAATGACATTAATTCTACCAATAGGTGTGAGCAACCTTCTACTCCAGCTCTTAATAAGAGCTTTAAGTTTAACTAATTTTTTATCAAAGTTCATTTTAGGTATTTTGCAAAGATCTACATGGAAATCTATCCCAAGAAGAGTAAATTTATTAACTCCCCATCTAAGATTCATATTTGGAAGGAGAACATCATTGCTGTATTTTTTACTGCCTATCCAGACAACTTCAGTTTTACCTACATTTACTTTAAGACCAGATATTTTTGCATAAATATTTAGTTCATCAACCGCCCCTTTCAGTGATTTTTCAGAACCATCTAATACCAGAGAAGTGTCATCTGCATACTGAGAGTTTAAGATGGGACAGTTATTAACCTTTATACCAGTTATACTCTTATTGTTTCTAAGGCGGATTGCTAAAACTTCTGCACATAGTATAAAAATATATGGAGCGATGGGATCTCCTTGACGACAACCACGATTTATTTTGAAAAAAGCTGATAAATTACCCCCCTGGTTTATAGCAGAGCTTGAATTACAGTGTAAAATTTTGACCCAATTTCTGATATCGTTTCCAAATCCAAAATATCTAAGTACTTCGTCTATGAATTTCCAAGAGACAGAATCGAAAGCCTTTTCAAAATCAACCATTAATAACATTCCAGGGATATCATTTTCCTCTGTATATTGCATAATGTCATAAACCAGGCGAGTATTTTCTCCTACATAGCGTCCCGATATAAATCCTGATTGATCAGAGTTTATAATTTTTTGTAAAACTAATTTGAATCTACTTGTTATTGATCCAGAAGCAATTTTGTATACAATGTTTAATAGAGAAATAGGTCTCCAATTCTTTATAAAATACTTTGATTTATTAGCCTTAGGTATACAAGTAATTATTCCCTGACGTTGTGTAATAGATAGCTGACCATTTGAAAAACCATAATTTAATGCCCTAACCACAAAATTACCTAACTGATTCCAAAAACATTTATAAAATTCTGATGTGAATCCATCTGAGCCTGGGCTCTTATTACTTTTCATATTCTTTAGTGTTATAGATGCTTCTTTAAGTGTAATAATACCTTCCAAACTGACCGCTTCTTCAACATTTAATCTTGGAACATCAAAATCTTCTAAAAATTCATCCAAATCTATGTCATCGACTTCATTATCAATAGAATACAATTGTTCATAAAAAAATTTCACCTCATTTAATATATCTACTTGTTTAGTTAGAAATTCCCCATTTTCCTGTTGTAACTTTGGAATGATTTTTGATGTAAAATGTCTATTTTCTAAATTAAAAAAATAATTGGTAGGTTTTTCACCCTCATCAATCCATAAGGCTTTTGCACGTATTATACTCCCTTTTATCCTATGTACTCTAATCTTTTCCAATTCCTTTTTTTTCTCAAGTAACTTGTCTAAGTCTACATTATTCTCATTTTCCAGTTCCTGTATTTGATCTATTAAGGTCTTTTCCCTTGCCCAACACTGTTTCTTTTTATAGGAAGAATATGAAATTGACTTACCTCTAATTTCCATTAATAGTGTTTCTAAAAATAACTGATCATTTATAACAAACTGTAAATCTGAATCAGGTATATCATCTATATTTTCAGGATTATATATAGGAAGGCAATACTGTAATTTAACTGTTTTAATAGTATCATTAATTATATTAAGATATTCCAGGTCATATAATAAGGAACTATTTAACTTCCATAGACCTTTACCTTTTTTAAATTCGTTAAATTTTAACACAATTTTGGGGAAAGAATGGTCTGATCTGTAACCTGGATCTATACTTGTCTCACCTACACTTTGTAATAAGTTCCCAGAAACCAAAAAGAAATCTAACCTAGCCTGCTTGATAGGTTTACTCCTACGCCATGTATATCTGGAAATGTCAGCATGCTGTTCTCTAAAAACATCCACTAAATCAAAGTTATTTATTATTTCTAATACCCTAGCTGTAATTAATGAATTTATTGAAATATCAATTTTGGGCAGGTTCGGCCAATGATACCGGGCAAGTTCCAATGGGGGGAGATTTGACGTGTATATATAGCGTCAGGAATCCTCCCGAGTACCCCAGATCGTCTGTCCGATCTTTTACCAAGGCGAGGCAAGTTCGGCTATCCAATCTTTTGACAGAAAAAAGCTACATATACGCGATTGCCGTTATTGAGGGAATGCAATTTCTCTTCAAAATATAAACAAATTTCAACAAACGCCATAGTGTTAAGAACGACTTTAATAATAAAAAAAAAGAGGCCGAAATTGCTTCGTTCTAAACTACTACAGAAACCGTAACGGTAGTTCCTGTACTGAAGATCTGTATGGTTTATTATATTTTATTTTCTGTGGCTTCATCTTCGCATTAAAGTCATTATTGGCGTCTTTCTTGTGGTACACAATGTTAAATATTGCAATGAAATATTTTGTCTTATCAATTCATAGTATAAATGGTTTAAAACAATATTACGAGTACGGGGATAATCCTGGAGGGGGCCATGATGCCAATGATCCCTCCATGTTCAAATTCTACTTTAATTTTACATAGAATGGCCCCTCTTAATGTTGATATTGACTAAAAATTGCTCAAATGTCCCACCGCACTCAAATTCCAGGATTTTCCCTTGAATTCTGAATTTTCTGTATGTATTTTTTTGTTGTTAAAATTTGATGAGATGAAAATTAAAACTAAGGCTGAAAATAAA